CAAGATTTAATAAAAAAAAAAAATTTCTTAAATACAGCTTTTTTCTTTTAAAAGTTTAAAATTGCACGAAATTTTATTCAAAAACACGGATGTTTGCTAGAGAGAAATTTAGAAAGATTAATTTAAATAATTGCATATATTGCGTTTTTACGAAAGAATATTATATATCTAACATTTTATTATATCAAACATTTATTTTATCAGGGCATTCTGTAAAATTGAAACATTCAGAATACTTTGCTTCATGCGCAACGACCCGGTGGAAGTAAAAATTTAAGGGAGCGACTTGTGCCAAAGTCAACGAAGTAAGGATTGATAAGAACTTATTTGCGCCTTTGTCATTGGACCATCAACTTTGATTAAATCTGGGCCATAAACTCCGTCGAGGAATCTTGAAGCGGCTTGCGACAGCTGTTCGTGCGAATTAAATTACACTGCTTGTCGAACAACCGAACTTTCCGACGGCAAGATGCATTTTAGCGCGTTTACTTGCAGACGAGACAGAGCAGCGGCGCGGTGGGAAACGACGCGGACGAGAAAGAAGGCAGCAGCCTGGATTGTTCTCCGCGGAGGCCGACGCCGATGACGATGGCCACGGCGACGTCGATGACGCCGACGGCGCTGCCAGGATCGCCGGGTTCGTCGATAGTGTGCCCCGCCACCGACATCGCGATAAATTTGCAACACCGGCGACGATTGCAGCTGCAACAACCACAGGAATTGTCCTTGACGCAGACGATGAGAGCAGCGACGGACGCCGCGTCCTCTTCGTCCACCTACGAGGAACCCAGCAGAACACCCCTCTCCGGGAACGTCCTCCTGTCCCTGCCGGCTTCGCCCAAGCGGTCATCAGCGAGCCACTTTTCGTCCAGCAAGACGCCCGCCATATCGAAGTCGCAGATGAAAGGTGAGTCGAAGAGTTCAATCCTTTTACTACCTCTTTCTTTTCTTTGTGCAAGATATTACTTTGTCCGCGCAATCTAACTCTGTGTTAGATCTATCTGGTATCAAAAAAGCTAGATGTATTAAATGATACCATTAATATTGAATATAAATATTGAAAATTGAAGACAAAGATGTTGGTATTTTTGCTCAAGAAATATAGCCTTCAAACATTTGTGAAAAAAACGATTTCTAAAACATTCGAATCACATAAAGTTTACATGAGAAAAAAATAATTTACAACAACAGGCAGTAGATACATCAAAATAATAATTTTATGTCTAAATAGCGTGCAGGCGGAAACAATTTTCGCTCCTATTAATCATTATTACGTGATCAGTCCTTCGCGATCTCAATGTGTACTTTTTTGGTATTATTATGACACCAAATGCTGGATGATGGAGATACATCGGCGAATTAAATTTGACGCGCCCGGAAAACGGTATCTCGCCCTGTTTGATGTCATCACTTCGTTAATCCCGATAAAACTACGCTCGCATGTCGGATAGCTTCGCGCCGACGTTGTGATTTCATTCAGTTTCGCAGCCATTATTTTTTCGTCGTTATCGCTCTTAACGGGGCGTACACATATGAGAATCGAGAATCGGCCCAATTGATCGATTAGATCTGTGTATACGCGAGATAAATTATTTCGTATGGCGTACATCGTCAACGGACGTCGAATGCGTTTCCCGTGTCGTCCGTCACGTGTGCAATTTGTTTTTTCTTTCGCTTTTGCGAATATCGCCATTGAACATTATTCTACTGACACGTGGATAGCGTAGCGATTTCTTATCGACGTCAAACAAATGACACTACAAAATGCTTGTAGTATTATTTCATATTTTGTAGTATTTTACTTTTTTTTCTTTGCATTATAATTATTCTCGTTGAATCATTCATGAATGTTACAAACCTCGTAATCAATTAAAGAAGACCTTTAATCAAAGAATTGTCGCTCCCAATTCCTTTCTAAGAGAATCCAACGCGAGAATAATGAATAGACGGACGATTTTTTCTTCTTTTTCAGATCTCATAGCGTGCAAAAATCTTATGCTAAATTTAATTCCACGGTGTGTATCTCTATTATTATCAGTACTTAATGCCATAATAAGACGAAAAAAGTACAAATTAAGGTTTCGAAGAACCAATCTCGTAATAATGAAATATAATGTTAATTCCAAAGTAATATACATTGATATTAATGAAGCAATCTCCCAATAATTTTTCTATTGTAATATTGCTATAATATCTGGACGGAAGTTTCTTTTAAAGTAATAACAATGTTGATGAGAGAGTTTGTCAGTATCTTTAATACAGCTTGAAACAAGCGCTTATCAGTTGTCTTAAATACATTTCAGCAGTTACTGAACTCGTCTAACTACAAACAAGCTGTTTATTAAACTTCATTTTAAATGGCGCAACTTTATGCATCGCGCGATTGATTACCACTCAATTTCATGAAATTTCTTTGAAAGTACAATTTGCAAGAATAAAATTTCCACAGACTAGCTCATTCTCAAACGTATTACAAAGAATCTTGTTTTTTTTCTTCCACTGACCTTACGAGATCTTGTTCGTAGAAAATGTCTAAAAAAATTACGTGTCTTCGTACAGTTAGCGACACGTACATCGACGCGAACGTAATTTCTTCCGCCAAATCGTTACGTCTTTATCGTCCTCGTAAAAGAACGCCTTTTAAAGCAGTTACGTAGTAAAGTAGTTCTCACACACTTTGTCGACTTTGACGGTAAATAAAAAGATTTTAAAAAAAGAAAGAATATATACACTATCGTCGAGTATTATTTTAAAATAAATTGTACAAAAATGTAAAATTAAAGTTTTCTCTGCTGATTTCTTCAATTCCTAGTTGGAATAAAAGTATTCCATTTCTTTTCTCTGAGGCACCTTTGTCACAATTATATAAAATATCTTTTACAAGAATAAATATAAATATTTTTTATTTAATCCTTTTAATGTCGACTGCATTATATGTTATTCAACAAATTCTCATTACATTAGGAAATGCATATTTGAAAAATGTTTATTGCAACGGTATTTTCGTGATTAATTTTAATACCTCGCAAATCAATTATCCGAAATAAATGATTCTAGGCCAGAAGTGCTTGAATATCAAATAAGACTCGTTTTAACTCTCTGTGATTCTTCTGTGGGAAGCACGGTGGAAAGATATTGATGGTTATATCGACCCCATGACGTTTACATACCGAGTGATCTCTGACGAAACCGGCCGACCGTGTACTTTGTATGTGAAACACGTGGGTCTCGCTCAATTTACTGGCGGTCAGCTGATCAGCTGGTCGTAGTACCGTAATCACTGTACCGTAATAGCTATTAATAGTTACGTAACAATACACCGCGTTTATTTATAGATAAACGGTGCGCTCACGCCGAATTTTCTAAACGCTATAACTCGGCGAAAAGTTGACGTAGCAACACGCGGCAAAAACGGAACTTGTACGCTTTATGTTCCGCAGATGTTGATGTCTAGTATATATATTCTTATCGTGATTTGTGTATATTTATTTAAAATATAAAATAGCCGTATTTGATAATTAGAAAAGACTTATTTATAAATAATATTGGTTCATCAATAGTGACTTTCCGCGCTTTCATGCTACTAAAAAAATTAATTATTGTAATCTTTGACATTGAAGTTAAATCCGAATACAGTGAGAAAGTCGACTGTGATAGTGCAATTTAAAAAAAAAATGTTGTATAGTCGTGTTTGAAAAACTCGTGTAGAAATGTGATACGGTTCAATAATTGAATCTTGAGATTCCGTTTGATGATCTTTAAATCATGTTTACAGTCGCGACTCAATTGAGAAACTCAAATGGAACTTTTCTAAGAACGCACTTTTAAGTTCTCTCTTGACGCGGTTTAATAGTCAATTCTTGAGAAAGAATCACAGTAATCGTTCCGCTTTGTATGGTCAATAAGGTTTATCGGGAGGGTTCAGACTTGATGTGAAATACCATTGGCTACAGAAATTTTCGGGAAGTTTTCGCGTGAAAAAATAGAAGGAAAAAAATAAAGATGAAGAATTCCACTGTTTCCTTGACGAAAGTAAAAATCCATAAATGAAGAGGAAAACTCGTTCCATTTTTTCCAGATCTAATCTTAGATTTCTGCTTGATACACGATTACTGAAGTAGCCGCGTTTAAAAATACAAAACTTCACTCGGGGTATCTCAAATACGCTCCTAAAACGAGACGCGAGTAACGATCATAAATAAAACGGATGTAAGACGCGATGATTGCCGATTACGCTGGGACTCGTAGCTTCTGTTCGCGGATGAGCAATCGTGCGTGGATACTTAGGCGTACAATGTACTACCGGAACATCGAGAACCAACGGCGCGGGAAACGGGGCTATTAAACGATCGAGTCGAGCACCATTGAATCGAACTCGTACGGCTTGCAACCGTAGCTCGTTAAATTCGCTCTGGGAATTCTACGAAGAACTATCATCTTTAATCAGTTAATCAATGATTAGTAACTGATTCAGAATGGAGAAAAGGTAATTTCGGAAAGGTACACGCTTGGGGCTAATAGAAATTTAATGTGATAGATTAAAATGTGCAAATATGCAATTATAAAAGAATACTAAAAAAATTCATATTATAAATAGATGGACAGAACGATAATTCTGGAATTTTTTACACATTGCTACATAGTTGTGCAATTCTCTCTGAAAATTTCAAGCAATTTGAGCAATTTTTCCAGAGAAGAAAGCAAAATATATATTGGAATTACTCACGCTATTTTTTCGTGACAGAATTCAGGGAGGCCTTCAGGCTATTTGATAAGGACGGCGACGGAACTATTACGAAAGAAGAACTCGGCAGGGTTATGCGTTCCTTGGGACAATTTGCGAGAGCGGAGGAGTTAAGAACGATGCTGCAGGAGATCGACATTGACGGTGAGCGGCAGTTCTATTATCAATCTTAAATTGTAGCAAAGTTAGAAAATTGAATTGCAATGTTTCTTCTATCGTCGCTTTATTTATCCGTAAATATTAAGATGGAGCACATTTTTTTTTATTATTACATTTTGAAAAATTGTAATATGTTGCCAAAGAGAATTTATCAAAATTTATATTTATAATTCAAATGATTTAGTATAATATATTGAATTCATTATTTGAGGAAGATTTTATTTTGCAATCATCGAAACGTGCGTAATATTTCTTTGTTGATTAATTCAATTAATATAAAAAAGTGTAATTTAACTATTTTCCAATGTATAATTGTACTTTCAACATTTAAATTAAATACTGCATTTTATCGAAACGCGCGTGATATTAATCACCGACATTGGTGTTATTATATGATATTATTTTTTATTTTTTTTCCCCCGACAATCCATGCATTCCACTTCACGTGTCATGTGTCGTCGAACGAATAAATAATGCTTCATATAATATCTGCTAAAAAAAATAAAAAATAATAATGGCTAATGAATATTGACAAATAAAATAGAAAGGACAGAAATAAATTAAAAGAGGATCTGCAAATTAATTTTATTAACTAGTACTGTTCGCGATGTAACATGATAATACCGCGTTAGCTCCCGTGATGTGCTAATATCTAGCGTATTATTTAATCTTACAGCGTATTAACTTACTTTTACTTGCAAATGTTCATGCAACACAGCTTTGAGAAAACAATCGCGACGCGAACGCTGACTAAATAATAACGCATGCGATCGCCTGGCGCCTTCCGTGCTCTGCGACGCAGGTGCACTGTCGGCGCAAGGATTTAGAAATAATCATAAAGCAGACCATACTTTCGTATTCTGTAATCTGCGCAACGACGCGAGCTGCTAAATTAGTAGTATGACTTAGCATCGCCGAAAGATAATTTTTTTTCTTCTTATAACATTAATAGCTTCTACAATCCGTAATCCTGTTCCACCACAATTATTTACTCACGCAATATGCACGATACGTCGAACAATTAAACCATAATTGTTACCTACTTCTCGGGTACGAGAATCCTATAAAGCGGAAACTTTCAAAAACCGATTTCATATATGCGACGACTCGATACTTTCTTCCGTCGAGTATTTACTATTGATGATTCGGCGAAAGCGGGTCGGCGTATTGACGCTATACCGACGCGGATGGTACAAGTCCTTGTACCTGTTGCTAGTGCGCTCCACAGCGGGGCTGACTATTACCAGTCATTTTCCATGTAATCAGGGGAATTACGAAGTGGATTCTCGCAGCGAAAAACGACCACTCGTCGCTCCTCGAAAAAGAATTCGATAAAAACGAGCTTTTAGAACGTTCAGCGCTTTCGGGTCGCTTTGCGAGTTTGCGACAAAAAAGTTACATTTGTAGTGATTATTAAAATCCACATGGACACGCGGATGTGTCGGGTGTAAATCGAAGTCCGCGCATACCCTAAAAGCCGAAGTAATTACGTCGCGGAGGTGAATCCCGGAGGGAGGTGTTATCCGCAAGTTGAAATTCGGTGTGAAAAACCGCCGCGCTTTTCAGCGAGTCTCCGAAAAGTGATAATAATTTCGATTCCGGGGATTAAGTCGACGTCGAAAGAGATTTTCCAAGTTTTAACTCTTAATCCCCTGACTTCTCGGTAATGCTCCGACCCGTCGCAAGAAGGGGTTTAACCGCCCGACACGCGAGAGAAATATTCCGGGATCGTACAAAAATCGCGATCGCAAAAAAAAAAGGGGGCCGAACGGCCGACCGCGACTGTGGGCAAAAAAAGAAGCGACGAGAATCTCGATAATCGCCGGCCTTCTCATCCCCGGGATATTTCCGAGGGAAATTACTTCCGTTTGAACCGCCCGTGCTCGGCGTACCGTTACGATACGGTTTCGCGAACTGTCGTCGTCGATTGCGAATTGTGTGAACCACGCGTGAAATTATCCATTCTTACGCGCCACATTGGTTTCTACGATACTGAGCGATCGTATTACGCTCTTTTCCGCAACTTTGCCCGGAAAGCTGCGCCGGCGTGAGAGGCATTGCGGGAAAAATCGTGTCAAAGACGGTATTCATCATTTTAATTCGGATGTTTTCACCGATGAGCTTCTTCCTACCGAAAGAACACCTCCTACGCAATATCTTTTCGTATCTGCATTTCTTATGAAAATGAGTTCTCGACCTAGTCGGATAGCTTCGAAGTCGCCGTTCTTGAGAAATAATATGTTGCTGAGGAAAGAAAAGAGAAAAAAATTTCGCGAACTTTGGTGTACTATCAGATAAATTGCGTGCAAACTTGAGAGTGTCCTTATTTTTTCTTTTCTTCGAGAAAAAATTCCATTTTCGCAAAGTACGAGCTACTGCATTGATATCAATATTGTTTGTTATACTGTTAAAGTAGAGACTATCGCTCAAGTAGAAGACATATAAAAACAAATTATTAACGTGTTATCAGAAAGATGCGAAAAGTATTTTTGGGATAATACGCTTCTAAATAATATCTTAAAATTTTCGAAACACTTGATCAATTTTATAAATTAGTGGACATCGTATGGACAGCATAAAATTTCCTTGCCAATAAACTCTCTTATTTGGCACGATTTTATTTCACGGAATAGTCGTAAAACGGCGTAATATTGTCCAAAAAACGGCGTCTTTTGAGAATCTATCGCTACATTCATTTTCATAGCAGGTAGTTATCGTTATGCGGTTATCACGACCGACCGTTCAATTGTTTAACCAATCGATCTTTCTCGCAAATGAGATTCAATTGCGAGCGGCCGAAATTACTCGCGTCGTAATCCGCTAAGCTAAGCGAATCAATAGGAAGAACTTTTTTAGCCAATAAGCGTCGAAATTTCAATACGAACGAATAACTTGCAGGAAAGTAATTTGTTTTCCCCTGTGATTAATTCTTCGACAGCTCTAATAACGCTTTAATTAGCTCGTTGAGACTTTTCCGGCCTCAGATAAGAATCTGCCTGAAATTCCGCGGTTACGTAAAGTGCATTCATAATTCGCCGCGGCTGTTATGTATAATCCTCTCTTCACTCGCCGCTTCTTCTTCGCCTCGCAATAGCACATATAGGATACCGATATCTGACGAAATAACGGCTTAAAGTTTCTAAACGGGTAATTACAAATACATCGTCCGCGGCGTACGTGGCGAGTTAAATGAAAACGAAGCCAATCTGCGCCATCGGCGCTCCAGCTGAACCGTGAATGCGGTTCTGTTTCGGTGAGCGATACGTCCGCACACTACGTTTTCATTCGACCGCAGGAAGAACTTAGTTTTAGAAGTCTGAATGTCTTTCTAAACACAGGGTCGGCGATAATTAGTATGTTTAAATGCACATGCGTATATCGATCACGTTGACTCTGAGTGTTAAATGCGGCGGCAAAAGGCGATTCGCGGTGTTTAATTAGACTGTAATTTCCTCTCCAGCTTCATAGAGTAAGTCTACATGACAGCCGCAATAACTCTCAGCTCGCATTATTTTGATAGTGACTTGGTAATTATGTCAGAATAATTTGACAAAGCTGGATTAGACCGTACAAAAACACATGTAGATATATAAAGTCCGTGTTTAAAGTCTAATTTCATCTCAGTTAATACTGCAAAGTGCGGTTCTTCAAAGACAAATAACGATAAAGAACGAGAAGCAGAAGCGTAATATTTTTGTACATTAATAATTTTCATATTTTCCGACCATCGCGCTTTTGGTTTTTATTGTCTTTTTTATCATAATAAAAATTGTTAATTAAAATAAATAATTAAGAAAACAAATTTTGCAGTAAGGTGAAAATATTCGAGTCAAATAGAGAGGTATTTTATTAATTACTTTATTACAATCATTAAGATATTTTTGCCAATTAAAGGAATGAATTTATGTCTCTAAATATTTGTACAAGCATACGATATGCCAGTTGACTGCTATCGATTGAGGCATACTTACAGACTGTTTGCTGATGAAACAATCAGCCGTACAACCGCCGCTGTTTGACTTACTTACTTGGGGAAGGTCGCCGGCCGTCTTATTTCTCATGAATGAGTTTCGGTGACTCTGCGAGACTCTCTCTCTCTCTCTCTCTCTCTCTCTCT